TATGTATATATATATATATGTATTTTAGATAATCATGAATGGAATCATTCATTGGAGTGCTAATAACACTCAAGTAGGCCAAAATAATATAACAGCTAGTCTGTTATAGCCTATTATTAAAGTAAAATACTATTGCAATACTGTAAGTATACAATTTTAGGGTTTTGGGTTTTTTTTAATGTTAGTAACTTTAGAAATGGAGAATTTAGATGTGGGAGTGGGGGAGATCTATTTTTATAAGGTAATTTTTTTCCCTAACTATATTTTTAAAATTTATTTTAAAGTAAACATGTTAAATACAGTTAGGGAAGTTAAATAAACATTATACCGAGTAGTGGATTTTTGTGTATTTTATTTTTCTCTTAGTGATGTAAAGCTAACTAGGAGACCTTGAATTAAAAGTAGGAGATAAACTTAATTAAGAAAACTGGAACAATGAAGGACACTACGTGCTTTTACTGGATATACCATGTTTGTAAAGCTACACTGGAACCTTATATAACCTTTCTTGGACTTCAGTTATGGCTCTGAAATCAGCCAAATAATTATAATCTTACTGTAAAATATCAATGACAGAATTTTCTAACTGCAGGTTTTTTTACTTGGCAAACAGACAGGCAGCCTTAGGCAGAAAGGATTTTTAACTGCAGTTCTAAGAAACTTTAAGGAGGTTCTCCTTCCCCACTGCCATTGTCCATCCTCAAAGTAATGTTCCATGGAATGAAACTGCTCTTGCTTTTCAGTTCAAATCAGTTGGGAAATTACTGTTTGAGTTCTTGGTGCTGCCATGATTTCTCAAAAATTAGTGTGAGCAAACCAATCTATATAAAACACTAACTTTTTTAATCTCCTTTGCAATTTTATATGCAAATCAAGACAAATTCAGGGTGGTAGTTGAATGAACTTAAATTCTCATTCTTGTCCGTTAACTAAAAAGTATACTGCCCTTTTTTCCCAATTAGTCGAGGCTAATGACTTTTAGGAATATGTTTTATACCACATATATCTTTTTTAATTAAAGCAAGTGCCTTGATGTTATTCCATATAAATCATGCCTAACCCTCTATGGGATGAGGATGAGTTATTGATGGATTACAGCCTATTGCGGGAGAGAGGGAGTTGATTAATATAGCAGATCCTTTTCTTCTGGAGGAATATGTTTGTGATGTTTATTATATAAGGTCTTATATGTGTTGAGGTCTAGAGGTGTCATGTCATTTTTCTGCCAATAAATTGCTATTCTAATAAAATATTACTGTGTCTAAATTATTTAAGTTCATGGAGGGGAGGTTCTAACTAAAATATATATTTAGATGACCTAACACCAGTGAGCTTTAAAATACCACATCTTTACATTTGGAGGGTGAGCTAGTCATCAATTTATACACACACACACACACACACACACACACACAATTATAAATGTGTGTGTGTGTGTATATATATATAAAAAAGTAAATATAAATAAGATGGAAGGCTCTCTCCTTACAGAAAGCCATAAAGTATAAAAAGACCCAATTCTTTCCTTTATGCTTTGTGATCCTGAGTCAGTTAACCCTTTGGGGATTCAGTTTTTCCATCCAGAGGGGAAGAGGTCTAGATTGCTTGAAGACACTTTCAGTTCCCATTTGCATGATTCCCATTACGTACCGTGTTGGAATCAAAATCCAAATCTGGCTCATGTTTTTACTAATGCCCTAACATTGAATTTTGAGCAGTGAATTTTGAGCCACATTTTTTCCCATCAGCAAATTGAGGCTGATACCTTATTCCGACTAGGTGAGAGAAATGGAGTGCAGTTCCTACTGGAGCACAACCTTTTGTGAGAAATGATCTGCACCACCACCCTTTCCCCGTATCTGCCATGAGCCTCTTTTGGGATGTCCTCCCCCTTCTACTTCTCAACTCTGTAGAAGTGGGAGTGTGGGTGTATAGGGTTAAGGACAGTTTTCAGTCTTTTGCAGTACTTCTGTAATCCTGGGCATTCTGCCCCAAAACTCATACCCACCTCGCAGGGTGGAGGAGTTGGACTCAGTGGTCTTCTAAGGGCCCTTGCAGTCTTACATCCTGTGCACCTACCCTGTCTGCATTCAGCATCTGAGATCCAGAGCTTCTGAAGTGCCTCCCATGCTCATTGTCTAGCATCAGCTCCAACTGACTTGGAGGACTCTGCTACCCCATCTGTACTTTCAGTGCTCGTGTCCTTGGCTTCTTCTCCCCTTAAGTTTTTAAAGTTTAGATCCAATAGAGACTGATGAAAGTATGGCTCTTCTTGGAGAAATAGCCACATGTGCATGTATACACATACACATGATGATAAGAAATGCTGGTCATGGACCCCATATCATGAATACCTTGCACTATAAAGCTTTCCCCAGATGACTATATCCACATCTACGGCTTCAACTGCCTTATTATCTGTATACCAATGGCAGCCAAACATCATTTCCAGCCTGACCTTTCTAGAACACCAAACAGCATATCCATCTCTATATAAATCTCCAGAGCTTTTAAGGACAATTCTGCCTGGATGCCCAGAGACACCTCGCATGCAATATACCCCCAAACTCCTCCATTACCTTGCCTTGGTTATGGCATGACCCAGCTACTCAAGTCAGAAACCTGGTGAATTCTAGGATATTCCTCTTCAACTCCTACTCCAAATCCATCTTGCCTTCAGTTTGCATCATTTCTCTTCAGGACTGTTCTACAGCTACCTAATCTGTTTCTCTACAACCAAGCCTCTACCCTAGTTATCAGTTATTTTCTTAAAAAAAAGAATTTGTTGCTACTTGTAAGTGGTTCTGTGATGTTTTCAGGTTAAGTTCAAAATTAATGCTTTAGCCAATAAGACCTTAAAATCTTTGTTCTTGTTTCGTCTCCAGTCTCTTGTCCTGCCACAAATCTTCCTCTTCACATGTCTACCTCTGACCTTAGCTGTTCCCAAATGGGCCATTGTTTATCACCCAGGGCTTTATATATGCTGTTCCTTCTGCCAGAAGTTGCTCCCATCCCCATATGCTCAACTCCCTACTTCTTCCAGATACTTCATATTAAATATCCCTTGCTCTTGGCAACATTTCTCTCTTTTTTTAATTGAAGTACCTTCAGTTACAACGTGTCGATTTCCGGTGTACAGAACAATGTCCCAGTCATACATATACATATATATATTCACTTTCATATTCTTATTAAAGATTATTGCAAGATATTGAACATAGTTCCCTGTGCTATACAGCAGAAACTTTTTAAAATCTATTTTTATATACTGTGGCTAACATTTGTAAATTTCAAACTCCCAAATTTATCTCTTCCCACCCCCTTTCCCTGGTAACTCTAAGATTGTTTACTGTGTCTGCGAGTCTGTTTCTGTTTTGTCAGATGAGTTCATAAGTGTCCTTTTTCTTTTTTTTTTTTGATTCCACATATGAGTGATACCATATGGTATTCTTTCTCTTTCTGGCTCACTTCACTTAGAATGTTGATCTCCAGGTCCATCCATGTTGCTGCAAATGGCATTATTTTATTCTTTTTATCACTGAGTAATATTCCACTGTATAGATAGA